CAACGCGAAAATCAGAAGTTGGTCACATCGTAGGGCCGAAATTGAAAAGGTAGTAGTTGCCCGCAAAATTTTAAATCAAAATAACTCTTATAATTCGTAAAATAATTTCGTTATATTATACATCGTTGTATTCTTAAATATTAAGAATCAATTATTAATATTTAAAACTGTCTTAAACACAGTAAAATAAAATTGTAAACTAATTATAACAAAGCCGTATTATTATCTTAAGACATTACTTGTAAATATTAGCCAAGAATTAGGAACATGTGAATGGAGGATCGCGCGCCGGTTCCGAGCGCCGCATGGACAAGAGCGATTATTCGTTAACTTTAACCAGCTCTCCTGCCAAAATTACTTGTCAGATCAAAATTTGCTAAAGGAAAAAGTTGTTCCTTTTAACACAAAGTATCACATCCTGTACTCCTAATGCGCCAATTTTAGGATACCCTGTATAGTGCGTGCGTGCGTGCGTGCGTGTGTGCGTGTGATACACATATACATACATACATACATATACATACATACATACAGGGTGTCCGAAAAGTGTGGCAACTGCTTAATATTTCGGAAACTATGCGTTTTTGAGAAAAATGTTTTCGATAAAAGTTGTAGGATTTAAAATAATCTTTTTAATGATTTCATCAGTTTGACCTTGGGTGGCGTCGCCAAGGTCAGGTAAAAATCAAATTAATTTTTGAAATAGAACAATAAATTAAAGTAACGGAACACTCTGTCTTTGATTCCATAATCTAATAGAGCTGATGTCAAGAGCTTTCCAGTGCACTATAATGAAGTACTTTTTGATTAAGTAAATCTCAAATTATGAAGTTTGAAAATTTGAAAGTTACAGTATCGTCGGCATTAACATTATTCAAAGTGTCAAAACAATGGTTAGAAACTTTTGAATGTTGTTCATAATGATGATCTTGATAACATATGTCAAGGTCATGACCATTGAAAAATGTTCCTCTGTTTTTTAAAAAATAAAAATAATTTTCAAAAATAAAAATAAGTGTAACAATCTTTAATAGGCTTGATCTTAGATGTATGTTGTCAAAGTCATGATCCTAAACAACATTTAAGAAATTTTAGCCATAGTTCGAATACCTTGGATAATGCTAATGTCGGCGGTACTGTAACTTTTAAGCTTCATAATTCAAGACTTACTTAACCAAAAAACGTTTTATCTAAGTGTTTTGGAAAGCTCTCGAAATAAACTACAAGAATACGTAATAAAAAATGGGGATATAAAACATTTAAGATGACCTTGAATTTTTTTTATTAAAAGATTTTTTTAAATTTTTATTTATTGCATGTTGTAGCCTGCGTAAAGCAGAAAAAATCCCAGTATTAATCTTTTTTTTGAACTACCGAAAGTGTTTTAAAAATTGTGCGGACCATTACGCTGAACACCCTGTATATATGTATGTATAATATGTATGCACACACACACACACACGCACACGCACACGCACACGCACACGCACACGCACACGCACACGCACACGCACACGCACACGCACACGCACACACACACACACACACACACACACATGTATATATATATTTGTAAATGCATTATAATAATATATTTGTATGTTTAATTTCATAGGTGTATTAAAATACTCTGGTAAATTTTATACTTTTATCTTTGCATTTTTATCTTTGCAATAAACATTATTACTATATTACTCATTATATTATTCATGTGATAAATCGATTGCAGACGCAAAACAGTATATTAATATATTTTATTATTATTGTTTATAAATTATATTAGTTGATCGATAGAGATCTATATATTCCCTTTAATCTTTTCTATGATGGATCTATTGATACTATTTTGTAAAAGTATGTACGCTACTGCTAGACAAAGCACGTGTGATAGCCATGATAGGTCATGTACTACTGCGCTTCTCCAATAGTTCAAATGTATCTCAATCTGCGATTGTTGGGTAGGAGTGGGAGTTCGCTCAGCTGATCGAACAGCTGCCGTTCCTTCTAGGTGGCTGAGTGATTATCTCCTTCAGTTCTTCGTTGGCTGTTAAATTGTTACAATCGTCGGTTTTTTAGATGTCGGACGAAAGCTCGAACTCTCACTGGATCAAGCGCGTTCTCCCACTGACCGGCCATCTTCAAGTGTGATCCCACGATTAGTGCATCCGCCGCTTCTACGTAATTGTCCACGTTGTCCAACGTCACGCCTGAGCCGATCAGCACCGGTAGTTTCGTTGTGATATATTCCTGTATTTCTGCAAGATGTAATATGGTGTTTATTTTCTATTTTCATATATTATGTCTCAATGAATTTAATTTTCCTCCTTTCACATCGAGTTACAAACTCGATTTTGTTTCAACTTTTATCTCATTACGTAACTAATATACGGGGTGTTCATAAAGTATCGGACCCCCCCTCTATCTCAGAAAATTTTAGGGAAATTTCCTAAAAGTTTTGTATTTAAAGTTTTTTTATCCAGTTAGTATTTTCTGTGATAGAGGGGGGGTTTGATATTTTATGAATATCCTGTATATGTAAGTACATATATATTACATGTACATTACATATATATTAGTAACATATATATCTGTAGCTAATGATAATAGGATTAAGAATATTGACATATCTATGCTTATGAATTAATTGAGTTCGAACTTACATAAAATACGTTGTTGTATTTAAAATTATTTATTGATTGATCACGATTTTATTAATATACAAAATGTTTTTTTATTTAATTTAATTATCTGAAATATCTCTGTTACTTTTAGTGATACAAAAAATATATAATATATCTTTTAAAATAAAATTTTTGTGCTATATAAATTTTATTTTTTCTGTTTTTCTTAAATGTTGTTTTTTGTTTTATAGCATCTAAAAAATGAACATAATATATATATTAAAAAATTTGTTTTTTCGTCAGCAACACTATGTTATCAAAAATAGATCGTTATATTTAAAAATATTAATCACATCCAAATCTCAAAGAAAATGAACATAAAAATTTTGAAAAAGGTGATGTTAAAGAAGTCAAAATATTTTATTTGTATTTAATTTTTCCTTTATACGTATAATCTATTCGAATCATTAAACGCAAAAAAATTCAAAAAGTTCAAGTTAAAAGAAACTTATATATCAATTATTTTAAAAGTTTTAAAAGGTGATAATGATGTTATCTACCTGGATAGTGTCTCAACGTAGATTATGTACACTCTGAGAAAAAAGTATACTAAAAAAAAAATTTCCTTAATTTTAGTAAAGCTTTTATTTGAATACAATTATAAACGTATTTTTTAAATAAAACATTCAATGTATTTATGGGAAGAACATAATTTTTTTACAAAATATTTATTATAACAAGTATTTTCTACAGCACAGTTAATGATATTGAAATAATTTTTTAGTAATTAAATTTTCTAATTAAATTTATTTATTCTAAAAAAATTTTTTAGTAAGTAAAAAAAATTCATTGTTTTTATCTTTTAAAAAAGTATAGACACGTATAAAAAAATTTTCGAATTTTCAAACATAAATACTCATCAAAGGAACATCAGAAAAGAACTTTTTTATGTTTTTTTTATGACAAATCTTAGTTTTGAGACGAATCTTATTTTTGATAAATAAGTGATATTTTTTATAAATTATTACTAATTAAATTATATATTTATAAGTTTTCTAATATTTTTATTAAGTATTATTACAAAACATTTTTTATTAAGTAAATCATTTTTAACTTGTAAAGTTATTTCTTACAACATAATCAAAATTTATTGAATTATAGATTTTATTTTTTATGAATTACTGATTCTTAACATAAAAATAAAAAAATTAAACTTAAAGAGTAATGGCAAAAAACCTGTTTTTGCCCATTTTTTGGACCTCCAATTTCAATCTTTTTTTAATGAAACAAATAGTACTGTATGATGTAACATTAATCCTAGAAAAATTTTAAGATAAACATAAGCACGGTTCCGGAAATATGAAGGGGTGAAAGTGATCTCATCAAGAAAAGGGTTTCTCATAACTCATGAAAGTACACGAAACTTTTCAAGTGTCCATACCAAGGAATAAAAAATATATTTAACGAAGTGAAACATATCGTTTCTTATGGATTTTTTTACGCCGAATTAAAAAATGACCTTAGTTTTCGTCTAGCATGAAAATTCCCTGAGATAGATAAAGTTGAAGTGACACTTGACGCCGCTTCTCGCGGATCGGAGTATTTTTCTACTATGAGTTTTTTTGCCTCTCACAGATTGGGATGCTTTTTTAATGTGAATCCCCTTGCCTCTCACAGATTGGGATGCTTTTTTAATATGAGTCTCCTTGCCTCTCACAGATTGGGGTGCTTTTCTACTGTGAGTCCGCTTGCCTCTCACTATGCAAGATTGTTTTGTAAATTGTGATAGATACATTGCATATCTGGATTGGGTTTTTTTTATCTCATGATATTGAGCAAATCCAAGGAACCACACAATTGTCATTATATAACTGCAACAACCCGCAGTCTGAGCACCACTTTCACAAGTACAATAGTACTCACGAATAGAATCCCGTCTAGTTTTTGCTTTATCTATCAAAACAAAAATGTAGTGATACCACCACGGTAACGAGATTTCATATACGCTTTAATCAATGTAGATTCTTCAACAGAGATGCCATATTTCTCGTAGTTCAAAGCTGCTGACGGATGCTTCGGCCTTGGATTGAACTACTGCACTAAAAATATTCCTTCTTCCTGATGCTTTCTATAGTATAAAATCGAATTACGTATTTGATAAGGTCCAAGACTCAAGTAGTACAGATCATCCATCAAAAGTTCAGGAAATCCAATGAGTCGATTATTTTCTTTATTATCGAGTGACATACACTCGACTTCAAGGAATGGTGCTCTCAATTAAAGAAGATTGAATTCTTGGACGATGGTTTGCAAACGATTAGGGACGATAAGTCGATTTCAGAGTCTGTGCTATACCTTCATACATAATATCACTCAGAATTGGTTTGTGGAATAAATTTAAGAGAGCAAAAGCGAAATAGAGAAAATTGAGATCATGTTTGAGAGTTGTATTATGTGCTGGCAAAGAAAAAATCTTGAATTTCTTCTTGAGGCGACCGAATACTTGCTCTACCATCCAGCGACATTTGGTTACACATCTTGAAGCATTTGCTTCTGCGGTATTAAGTTGGCCGAGTCCTGGACAATAAACTTTCAAATTCTTCTCTTTAGTTAGGAAATTCAGCACATCACGAAAACCTCTATCAACTAATATCGTATCACTCTTATGAATAGTACTCATGTCGTTCGCGTATCTCTGGAAACAATACTGCAATATTGTCACATCATTATGCGTTGTTTCAAATGGTCCAAAAACGTATAGAACGAAACCATTTGAAAAGCAACCATAAGTTTAACCAGCGGCATTTTTTTCTGCTCACTCCACAGATGTTTTCTGCATAATTAGCAGATTTTTGGGCCAAGCGAGGTGGCATCGAATATTATGCAGGCTTTATCGTCGAATGTCGAATAGTACTTTTAACATTGGTGTCATATAAGGAAGAAATACTGAGCGATCATTCCGATTGATGAAGTGTGGAACGAGGTTCTTGTACAAATCTTCTTTTGCTGATTTCATATGATTTTTTTCAATAATCCTCCGACAAACATCGAATAAGAATGAAAGTGTTGTTCATCAGAAAGAAAAGTTCGCATTTTATAAAGTAAAACAGTGTTAGATTCAGCGTGAAATGCGCGCGCATTCTGGGGATAGCGCGCTGCATGATCGGCACGTGATTTTCGATGTCCCCGATTTCGGGGAGTTGGAGCGAATCGGGCCCTCGCCCGATGATTCGAGAGACAGCCGAACACATAACGCGCGTCGAGATACATACACGTTCTGTACTCTTACAATAAATGAAATATATTATTCTAATCTCAAAAAGCGGTACTTGACTTTATCTGTATGGGTTTCTACATACACAACAATACTGGCGACAAGGATGGGATTGAGCTGAAGCAGAGTTCAACGCGGGCAACACAACAAAAAAATTGACCGCGTACAGAACCCACAAGTGCAAAGTGATTCGGGAGAGACCATCGAAGTGTGAACAGTAAAGGACAAGTAAGGTTTTGCATCCACGATGGCGACACCACACACGATGGCACAACCTACACTGCACGCTAACTTCAATATCGACATTCGATTTGAACCAGAACACATGGCGGCAATGGCTACAGCGACTGGAGGGAGCGTTCATCCTGTTCCAAATTTCCGAGGCCTCGAAGGTAGCCTACCTGCTATATTACATTGGGCCGACGGCGGTCGATATCGTGATTAACCGGGTAGAACAGGCCGACCCGTACAAGAAGCCATACGCAGAGATAAAGCAACTTTTAGGCAACGTATATTCGCCGGCGCCGCTCGAGATTACGGAGAACTACCGTTTTCACCAACGCAAGTAACAGGACGGAGAATCAATACAGCAATTTGTGGCTGCGCTGCATACGCTAAGCATAAATTGCAATTTTGGAGATTATTTGCTGACGGCCTTACGCAATCAATTTGTTTTCGGGCTGGCGAGCAAATGAATACAATCACGTTTGTTGGAAATGAAAAGCGTTACTTTTGAACGAGCAGTTGAAACTGCTACCGGCATGGAGCTGTCGGAGAAGGACACGGATCAATTACATTCAAGAACGGAGAATACCGTTAACAGCAAGAAACCATCAAAACACAGGGGGACTACTACATCTGACATACCGCATCAAGGTCGGCGGGGAAGGACACTAAGAAAAAATTTGCGGATACGTGTAAACACAAAGCCCCGAATGTTCGCGCAAACACTAATAATGACATTAAATGTTACAAATGTGATAGGGCACATCTGGCTTCCATATGCACGCTCAGCCGCGAGGTAGAATGCCGAAATTGCGGGATCAAAGATCATTTACAGTCGCTCTGTTTTCGAAAACGAGACGCGCATCAACTGGATGAAATCCTCGCAGTGGAACATCTGGAAAATCGTGAAAAGTTTTACGCTATGGTCACGGTAAACGGCATTCTGATAACTTTCGAAGTGGATTCAGGCGCCGCCGTGACTATTATGAATTACGACCAAGCAATGAGTCTTTTCACTAGAATTACCGTTCATACTATGGAGATACAATTGACTACATACTCTAAACAGAGAGTACCAATTGTAGGGTACATTACGGTTACAGTAGAGTACAAAAACACATGTTACACATTGAAT